TATTATTATTATTATTATTATTATTATTATTATTGTTGTTGTTGTATGGTGTTGTTATGATTATTATCATTATTATTACTATTATCATTATTAATGTTATGATCATGATTATTATCATCATTATCATTATTATTATTGTTATTATTATCATTATTATTATAATCATTATTATTATTATTATTATTATTATTATTATTATTATTATTACTATTATTATTATTATTATTATTATTATTATTATTATTATTATTATTATTATTATTATTACTATTATTACTAATATTATTAATCATCATTATTATTATTATCATCATCATCATTATTGTTATCATTAGTATTATTATTGCTATTATCATTGTTATTATTATCATTTTTTTATTATTATTTTTATCATCATCATATTATTATTATTATTATTATTATCATTATCATTATTAATAACACTAATAATAATAATAATAATAATAATAATAACAATAATAATAATAATAATATTAATAATAATAATAATAATAATAATAATAATTATTATTATTATTATTATTATTATTATCATTATTATTATCATTATTATTATCCTTATTATCATTATCATTATTGCTATTCTTATGGTTATTATCATTATTATCATTATCATTTTTATTTTCATCATCATTCTTCTTCTTCTTTTTCTTCTTCTTCTTCTTCTTATTATTATTATCATTATTACTATTATTATTATTATTACTATTATCATTATTGTTGTTGTTGTTGTTATAACTGTTATCATTATTATAATTATCATTCTTATTTTCATTATTATTATTATCATTATTATTATTATTATTATTACTATTATCATTATTATAACTATTATTATTACTATTATCATTCTTATTCTTATTCTTATTCTTATCATTATTATTATTGTAATTATCATCATTATTATAGTCAATATTATTATTGTTATTGTTATTGATATTACCATTATTCTTATACTTATTAATATGATCATTATTCTCATAATTATTATTATCATTATCATTGTTACTGCTATAATAATGATAATGATAATAATAATAATAATAATAATAATAATAATAATAATAATAATAATAATAATAATAGTAATAATAATAATAATAATAATAATAATAATAATAATAATAATAATAATAATAATAGTAATAATAATAAAAACAATAATAATAATAATAATAATAATAATAATAGTTATAATTATCATTATTCTTATTACTGTTATTATCATTATTATTATTATTGTTGTTGTTTTTGCTTTTGTTATTATTATTATTATATTATTATTATCATTATCATTATTATTATCATTATTATCATTATCATTATTAGTATCACTATTTTCATTATTGTCATTATTATCATTATTACCATTATCATTATTATTATTATAACTATTATTACTATTACTATTATTATCGTTATCATCCTCATTATCATTATTACTAGCATTATTATTTCCTTTAATATAATAATTATTATCCTTATCATAATTGATAGTAACATTACTATTATTATCATAATTGTTATTAATTTCATTATTATTATCGTTATCATCATAATTATTATTTCTATATTTATTATTACTCCTATTATTGTTATTGTAGTATCAACCCTATTATTATTATTGTATATGTGATGTTTTGATTAATCTATCTATTAACCATTGGGTTCTTATGCCTTTCTTTTATTCAGCGGTTTGGGAGACAACCTGTTGTGCCACAAGTCAAAGTTGAGAGCAAGCGGGACGTAAGTGTATAGATGTCGCTGGATTTCAACACGTAACTCGTTCACTCGTGGAGACAGCATGTGACAAACCAAAGCAAAACAAAACAAAACAAAAAGTATAAATAAAGAATATGAAACTACAAAAAAAGACGTGTTATATTATGTATCGATATAGAATGATTTATAATAAATCCGCCTCTTTTTTCCTTTTGTAAATAGGATTAAGTTGCTGTCTTTATGAGTGAACAGTTGAGACGCACATAGATGTTGACCAACACATCTACACGTCACACATTTTCAGCCGTGGATCCCGGGGGCGTCTTCTTCGTCTTCCCTCAGCATCTTCCGGGCAGATCGGGCGCTTATCTCCCGAATCCTCACGAATTGGACAAAGAGTGTTACTTCCGAAATATATAATAAGGAGGCCGTAGTTCATGGGATGCCTTGTAGATACGGAATATCAATTGGCTACTAATGGAAAGAACATACAAAAAAGAAAAAAGAAAAAAAGGTATTCTACGGAAACATTTTGTAAAAGAGCCAGACGGATAAGCTAGAAATGATGATAACTGTGATGATGAAAACATTACAGTGAAGAAACTTCATCTAGGAACAGCAGCCTTTTTTTCCCAAATAGACAGATATTCATTACTATGTCAGAATAAAGACAACTTAATCGAACGAAAAGCCAAAGTCAGACGCAGAAGGGAGATGACTGAGCGCCACAAGTACCCTCGGGATCCACAACTGCAGT